GTTTCTAACATCTTATGTGACCTTGCAGGGAAAGAGGGGCTAGAGCACTGGAGGAGAGATTAGCATCTGAGAAATTGGCTGCCGAACGTAATTCAGAAGAGGCGCACATTGATGCCAGCGACCGTGTTTGATTGCTCGGAAAGTCCCATCCATTAACTACGAAGGTTATGAGAAATCATGTCCCCTTGCCCCATTGTATAAGATTAGAAATTACAATCCTAGATCATGTTGTTACCCTTTACACTATAATATAGGCAAAATTCATTATTTTCAAGTGTATTGGTTCTTATATGTTGATTGCTTGCATAATTCAATTTTGGACCGTTTTCATTGTGCTTTGTCCACATCGTAAACATTCTTTTTATAATACTATTTCTCATTTTATGTTCTTGTTGTGATCTAACTCATCGAAATTTAAACTATTTAATACCATTTTAAAATCGAAACGGTACTTGCTTGTCTGTATGGATATGAGACACATAAGAAGGAAGTAATAATGAATAAATGAGCTGTATCGACACGAATTCAGCCTCACTAGAAAGACCATTTCCGCGTTAAATTTCTATGCAGTTACCGAAATGGAAAAGACTATTTATCAGCCTTCTAGCAGGCGTGGTTTCGTGGGTTACATCGCTTCATCTGGTGAGGAAAGACTACATCGAGTTGTTCTTCTATAAGCGTCAACTATATGTCGTCTTTGTTGTCTTGGTATTGCACGTCGGTGGTTTCGTTTTCAGCATAATCGCCGGAGCGATATTTTTCATGCTTGATCACTTCCTCCGCTTCTGCCAATCATGAACGACGGTTAATGTACTTTCGGCTAAATGCCTTCCCTGTGGGACATTTGAATTGGTAATCTTAAATCTGAGCCTTCGTTGATATGTCTAGTTTATGCTCAGTACTTCTACTCTTCTTTCAAACATAAGCCATAGCATTTTCTTAATTTATTTGGCACTGATTTTCCCTGCAAGAAGGTAAGGTTCATGTAGCATCAAACTTTTCCTGCCCTTTCTCCGGCCATAGTATTTCGCCATTAGTTGACACCGGAAACAAAGCATGGTCAGGCCTATACAATATTATATTTACTGTCCGATTTATTGTTTTAATGGCTTTGTTGCGGATTTTCTACATAAAGCCTTACAACGAAACTACCTGGTGGTACCTTGGTCCTCTTTTCATCATATGGATGGTGGTGAGTAATGAGCGGCGAGTGTTGTAATCTTTGGCGGTGTCGTGATCAGTTTATGTCACCTTTGGGGGAAAAAGTTTCTGCAAAGTTTGAAGATGATAATGACGGAAAAAGGTTGAAACTGTTGCAGACAAAGATTGGAGTCATAAGAATCTTGAAAGTTGTACACACAAGTATCTGCCATTGACAGCCGAGTCCGAGTGGAGTTTCTCGAGTTTGATTCGTTTTTTTGTCTCTTGCTTCGCAGAAATATTTGTAGCCACAAGCAGGAAATGGGGTAATGTGATGTAGGTGTGTCAATCAAGTGTCGCTAAAGAAATCAGGTCACATAACACAAGGAGACAACGCCATCACACCGTTTCCCATTTCAACAGCCATAGCTTTGATATATAATTATTAACACTACTTGAATGGTTATATGTATATCATGTATGCATGCATGTATGTATGCATGCACGTATGTATGCATGCACGTATGTATGCATGCACGTATGTATGCATGCACGTATGTATGCATGCATGCATGTATGTATGCATGCACGCACGCATGTATGTATATTTGGAGAGATATAGGTATAGCAAAAGGAATCTGCAAACCCATGACTTGGATGGCTCAGTTGTTAGGGTAATGAAGATATTATTTTATAATATTCATATATATACATTCAGATTGCAAGTTTTCGAGGGAAAAACTATAAATACCTCATTGTAGTTCTCTGTAAGCAAAAGCTAGCAAGTAGATGAATTATACTATATAATCTAGCATTGCAAGCAATGTCACATATTGAAAAGTAGATAAATTTACATTAAAAGAACTTGGACAAAAATGAAGAGGACATGACAAAAGGGTGTCACGGGAAAAAAATACTGGGTGCATCAGACACGGTGCGGATGAACGTCGTGATTGTCATCTCGACTTGCAAAACTCCGCTGTCGATGGTGGCTTGGCCTTAATATTTCAAACATATGAACTTATTTCTTGATGTCATCATCAGCTGACAATGGATTAGATTCTACCGTATGATAGTGCTTAGTTCCCTTTTGCTGGTATTATTCCCTTCTCATTCTCGGAGTGGAAGAGCCTGTGCGGGGACCTTGAACCGAATGAATTTCGGGATCATACTTTTGAGAAGCAAGATAAGTGAGTGCAGTCACTACGTCCACTATAAGTGGCCGCATATTAGGCTGTTCCTGGACGCACATTGCAGCCACAGCTAGAGCTTGGTACAAACCCCTGACCGGATATTGGCCTTGAAGTAACGGGTCAGCCATTTGTGCAAAATTCCTCCTATCTTTAAACAGGGGACGTGCCTGTTAAACAAAATCCAAATTTCATAAGAGATTCATAGTTACAAAATAGGAAAAGAAACGAAAACGACTTGCAAGGATCATTATGCTTCTTTCTTGTTTTACTTTATTCTTCGGGACGAATCTGGTGGTTCAAAAGTCCCTTTTTCCCCTTACGGTACTCATCGAAGCACGAACACGGATGTCATTAAGACTAAATGATCAAATAACTCCCGTTCTCATAGCGAGTATTTAACTATTTAAAGGCTATTGCTATAAGCTAATATTTCATACACCTGTGTACTTATTCAATATAATTGCCGACTTCTAAAACACTTTCAGAATATGAGGAGATATGTATCTTACCCAGGCAACCAGATTTTGCTCACCCCCGGTTCTCGAGTTGTCAATAGCTTTCCTTCCAGTAATGATTTCGAGCAGAACAACCCCAAAGCTATAAACATCCGATTTCAACGTAAGCTGACCGGTCATTGCATATTCGGGAGCACAATAACCATAGGTCCCCATCACTCTAGTGGATACGTGAGTATTATCTCCAACAGGACCCAATTTGGCCAACCCAAAATCAGATAGCTTCGGGTGATAGCCTTCTCCAAGCAAAATGTTTGAGCATTTTAAATCTCGATATATAACCGGCGGGTTAGCTTTGTCGTGCAGATACTCCAAACCTTTTGCAGCACCTGCAGCTATTTTCATCCTCGTGTTCCAATCGAGCGGCCTTCTGTCGGGAGGTAAATCTGATATAGAAGCAAAGAAGACTAAGCATGACATTCAATTGTGCAACAGAAACCAAAATCCTAGACATGTTCATACCATGTAGATGATCTTCTAATGATCCTAATGGCATGTATTCGTAAACCAAAAGTCTCTGATCTCCATCAGCACAATATCCGATTAAGTTGACGAGATTCGGATGGTGAAGCATGCTCAACATCAACACTTCAACCAGGAATTCCCTGTTCCCTTGCAGTCCATTACGATCAAGCTGCTTGATTGCCACAACCTATGAAAAACGGGGACAAGGTCACGCTCAGTCCTCGTGTATTCATACTGTTCGTATGGGTTGCGACAACCTATTAATATCATCGCAACCACATTTCTCCGATCAACAATACTAAAATTAAAGTCATACAAAAGACACATACTTGATTACTGCCCTCCAATAGCCCTTTATACACTCGGCCGAAACCTCCTTCACCTACATGGCAATCTGCTCTGAAATTCTTTGTTGCAGCCGCCAATTCACGGAAAGTAAAAGTACGTACTGCAATGTGATCGGGCACACCATCCTTCTTTGCATTTGGTACAGAATTCACCTTCAACTTCTCTACCATGTCAGTAAAAATACAGAAGATTCATGTCAAGACCATTGAAATCCTATACCAGATCACACTGAACATTGGAAACCCAGAAATTCGATAAAAAAAAGTTGAAACAATTAAACAAATGGGTCAAACTCAAATTGATATTCACATAACATTTCATTCAAAGATCAAATCTTTATTTATTTTTTGAGGGAACATAAGAGTAATAAGAACCTGAAGTAGAAGGGATCTGATGATCAAAGGTGTTATTATTGATGGGAAGCTGCTTCTTTCCATTATGGTTTGATTTTGCACCAAAAGGGAAACAACCCATTTGAAAACTTTCTTATTTGACTCCCTTTCTTACCTCACATTAATGACTAAAACAAGTAGATGAAGAAATAGGGGAAAGGAAGGAAATAAGTTAAAATACACAAGATGGTAATCATGATCATCAAGTTGTTTAAGCAATTAGATTAAATCTAAAGTAGAATTAGTCGTTAAATATAATGATTGGTTGAATAGTTTTGACCAAACTTGGTCATATTTAATGTAAAAGAAAAAAAAGCAGTGGGAAAGCAAGTGGGGACTCTATATTCAGCATATCCAAGAGCTGATTTTTGTCGCCCACCATACCTAAAAGGCGTTTTTGTTATAAATAAATTATTTGTTTAATACATTAAAATAATAGATAAAATGACAAATTATTATATTTATAATTAAAAGCTAATGAATGTTCTAAACCAGGCCTTATTATTAAACAACATGTGAAGAGGAAGAAGAAGAAACCCATTTAACACAGGCTGTTAAGGTGAAGGCATTGAAGTTAGTCCTAATAAAGAAACTCCGTTAATGTTACAGATTCCTTTTTCAAATCCTCTCTAACTTGCTATCATTGCTTTTGTTTCATATAATTATTCTGATTATAAACTGTTTTGAAGTTAAATGGTTAATATGTATGTTGCTTTTTAATTACAATGGTGAATTTGGTATATAAAGTAATGGTAAAAAAAGATTGGACAAATAGGCAACTGATAATTTCAATGAGGGACAAATTCATTGTGTAAAGAAGCTTGGTCTAATATCATATACGTTGATGTATCCAAGCCAACAATTATTTTAAAGCATTAGTCTGAAACTATATTGTACCATCACTTATATGATAAACGCCAGAATTCATAATAGTTTAAACTTCATAGACAACATTGAAATCAATAAAAGATAACTACAAGTTACTGTGGATCAGCCAACTGCAGACACTTTGTAAATTTGTGAACAAACCAGCAACACATCAACAGCAGCAGAAATCTTCCGCATTTCCATCACTTAGAAAGCTTCTTCCCGGCCTTTTGGGAAAGGAATACATCAGTAAACGCAGTCTTGGACTGCAGCGATGCCTTCAATAGCTCCACACCCTGAAACGAAAACCAGACAAAAGCAATGAAACATGTGGTTCTTACAGCAGCTTTATAAATGAATCGGTATAAATGAAAGCTCACCTCATTCATGCTTACATCAACAACTTTCTCTTCCAAAGCATCAACTTGTTTGACGTTGAACTTATTGAGCATAGTTATGCTTGAAATAGTTGACATTGGTGTGACTGTTAGATCATCCAAAATCGTATATGTAACAACCCCTTTCACATAACCACCCTCATTTGCAGCAGATGATGCAATCGAAACCTTATTTGGGGGATTTACAAATGTTGCAGGGGAGTTCATGACATTGTTGCAAGAAGGGCAAGTAGATTTTGGATCATTTGCATAATACGAACGACAATTGGTATTATACTGATATGAACATCGATATAATTGTTGTGGCGTAGATGATTGAATGTTAGGCAACAAGAGAGGAACATTGGTTGCCAGGTTTGAAGAATACGTAGGTTTCAACAAGGTGTCCCTGTTTGTTGTCGGCTGAATGTATGCATCACCCAGATTTTCAACGCTCTGGTAAAGGTTTCCAAGGCATCCAACCATGCCTTGTTTTGTTAGCAGCCTTATAATAGTCCCAACCGGCAATAACAAAAGGTTGAAGAGAAAATCAACAAAATCTTTGCCTGCTTCCGCATAAAGAACCCTTTGCCCTTTCGAATCAATCAGAAGCTTCAAGCTCACCGTAGTTGCGGTTGCCATGAATAGTATTAGGCAATATATGATAAAAAGTGAATTGCAGTGAACCCCAGTCCAGTTATGCTTGCTTTATATAGAGAGGTTTCTTCTAGAAGTAATGATGTTTAGAAAGAACTGGAAAGGACAAAATGAACGTTCAGTAAAGTGAACTCTTGAATTTCCACTGGCAAATTTGGATGTGCACAAATTCAAGTCTTCTAAGCACTCAAAACCTCAATTAGATGGAATAGATTTCCAAATGCTCTCAAATGAAATGCTTTGGAATGAATGATTTTGGTGCTTAGGGACATTGGCTAACCTCTAAGTGTGATTTGGCCATCAAAAAACACCTGAAACTACTGATATCATACGTCCATAAAAGAAGGGAAATGGGAACGTGAATGTGGCATGAACCACAAAATGGGGCAGTTCATTAACTGCTTACATGCCAGCCATAATGATTCATTCAACTAATAGTAATTCATTTATGATTTGATGTGGAAGTAAAGAAACTCCATTAATGATACATTCATGGCAGGTTCAAACTACGTACAGATGAACTAGTAGAAATTCAAGACTTCTCTTTACTCATTGTTCATTTTGTCCTTTGCGGTTCTCGCTAAGCATCATTACTGCTAGAAGAAACTTCTCTATATAAAGCAAGCAGTAACTGGATTGGGATTCACTGCAATTCACTCATATCGGTTGTCGTCTAATACCTATCATGGCTTTCATAAAAAAAGCCAAAAAAACTTTCCAGGAAAACAAAACAAAAAGAACCATTCATCGCTCCAATCGAAGAAACTGAAGAAACACCATTCATCGCTCCGATCAAAGAAACAAAAGAAATACCATTTATGGCAACCGACGCCGTCGCCACCACCGTGAGCTTGAAGCTTCTGATTGATTCGAAAAGTCAAAGAGTTCTTTATGCGGAAGGTGACAAAGGTTTTGTTGATTTTCTATTTGATATGTTGTTATTGCCGGTTGGGACTGTTATAAGGCTGCTAACAAAACAAGGCATGGTTGGATGCCTTGGAAACCTTTACCAGAGCGTTGAAAATCTGGGTGATGCATACATTCAGCCGACAACAAACAGGGACACCTTGTTGAAACCTACGTATTCTTCAAGCTTGGCAACCAATGTTCCTTTCTTGTTGCCTAACATTCAATCATCAACACCACAAGGATTATATCGATGTTCATATCAATATTGTACCAATTGTGTTTCATATTATGCAAACGAACCAACAAGTATTTGCCCTTCCTGTGAAAATGTCATGAACTCCCCTGCAACATTTATAAACTACCCAAATAAGGTTTCAACTGCATCATCTATTCATCTGCTGCAAATGAGGGTGGTTACGTTAAAGGAATCATTACATATATGGTCTTGGATGATTAGACAGTCACACCAATGTCAACTATTTCATGCATAACTATGCTCAGTAAGTTAAACATTAAACAAGTTGATGCATTGGAAGAGAAAGTGGTTGATGTAGGCATTGATGAGATGAGCTTCGTTTTTGAACGTTTCATATATAAAATTGCTTTCAGAAATTTATTTTAGGGTGTTGAGTTACTAAAGGCTTCGCTACAGTCCGACTGTGCTTAGTGATGTATTCCTTAACCAAAAGGTCAGGAAGAAGGCTTCTAATTGATTGATGCTTATGCTGCTTCTGAACAAGAGATTGATGATGCTCATTTTCTTTTGTTGATTTCAGTATTTTATTGTCTTGCAAGTTAAAACTTTTATGAACTCAGATGGCTATTTTCTCTAGCACCTAGTTATTTGCATGTTGGTACTGTTATAAGGTTGCTTACTGGCGTTTGAGTGCTCATAGGGCCTTTTGTCATATTGCATTACGCAAATGATCCAACATAGTCTTGCCCTTCTTGCCTTAATGACTCGGACGGCCCTGCAACATCGGTAAATCCCACAAAACAAGGCTTCAACTTCATTTGCTGCAAATGAAGGTGGTGGTTACATATACGATCACAGAATTGATTTCTAAGTTTTAGAAACGATTTATATGTGCAATAGGGAGTAGAATCATCAACACCACAAGGAATTTACAGATGTTCATATGGTCATAAAAAATATGCTCATGGTTCTAGTGCCCGTTGTTTGTATTATACAAATTATGATCCAACAACTTGCCCTTCATGCTCTAGGGTCATGAACTCCCCCGCAACATTTGTATACCCCTCGAAAAAGGTTGTGACATCTTCATATGCATCAAATGAGATTGGTTACGTGAAAGGGGTCCTTAATTTGATGCTTTAGTTTCTTCTTCCCCAAGGAATACATCAGTAAGGATCGTCTTGGATTGCAACGATGCCCTCAGCAACTTCATTCCCGATTTGCACAAAGCAAAGTTTTAGCTGACGTTACTAAAAATGAAAAACTGAAACTAAATACACAATTATACTTATATATATATAAGGGATTCTATACCTCATCCACTCCCACATCAATGACTTTCTCTTCAAGAACACCAACATCCTGAACGTTGAACTTGTTGAGCAAAGTGATACAGAAATAGTGGACATAGGCCTCACCACCAGATCATCCGTGACCATATAAGTGACAACTCCCTTCACTCAACCCCCTCACCAGATGACGAACCCTTGTTTGTATGATTCACAAGAGTCGGATTACGGTTCATAAATTCTTCACAATCAGGACAAAAGGAATCCGGATCATTCGACACATACCTACAATTGCCACATCTATACATGTGTAGGAACGGAAGTGGTACACTGTCAGTAGGCTTCAAAAGAGTGTTTTTGTTTGCTTCTGATTCCATGTACTTATCACCCAAAATTCCAATGTTGTCATTAAGTTTTCCAAGGGATCCCACCATTCCTGGTCTAGTAAGGAGCCTCATTACACTCTCAACAGACAATGACAGGATGCTGAAGAGAAAATCAACAAAATCTTAAAAATCAAAATTTTATAAATTAATCTAATTAAACTCCAATTTTAGAATATATTTTTTATTTTATTTTTTATAATATTTAATTGATTACTCTTAAATAAAAAGAAAGGAATCTCAAAGGATGTACACAAACACAAGCCATCAAAATCTTTATCTTTAGTCTATTAAAAGAAATATTCTTTTTCAAGAATCTTAATGGACAATAGGTTTTCGACTAATTAAAGTTATTCTAAACTTGGACTTGATAACTTTATTCAAGCTATAAGAATCTTAAAAATAAAAAATATATGCATAAATCAAGCTACCTTAATTGTTAAGTAATTTTTGTAATTTTTTGAGGTATCGGATTTAAGTACCACGTTTATAAGGATATGAACGGGCAATATTAAATGATTGAGAACCGTTATGTTCAAATTATATTATTTTTAAAAAATCTTCTTTGAAAAATATAAAACTTAAAAGTACATCATAAATAATTTAAACATAGAATTTAGAAATCCAAAATTACATAAACCAAAGATAAAACTTCAAAATAAAAAAATAGAGAGATACGACTAAATTTATTATGTTTTGCGGTTTAAAGAAATAATTTTAAAAGTAATTTAGAATGTTATGGTCAAATAACTTTGGGAAATTAGAGACATAGAATGTTAGGAGAAATAATTTTGAAATTATGAATGGAAAACCTAATCTAAAATAAATAAAAATAAAACAAATAGGGAATCGAGTCGTCGGGTATCCGACAAGTCAAAAATTGTGGCTCGTTGCCCGACCTGTGAAAATTAACGAGCCGGGCACCTACCTTACGAAGAAAAATACCTATTATTTTTGTTTGGGTCAATAGATCAAATATGTCATATCGGATAATTTTAAACACCTCTAATCATATATATAAGTGTATTGAGGTATTTGATCTACCTAATTCAAAAAAATTAATGACGATTCTAAAATATTTTCTTAAAAAATCATTTATTTCATTCACATATTTTTTTCATCAAAAAAATTTATGTCCGGACGAAAACTGATTACGACAGTTGTTGCATTGTGTTTTCACTTTATTTAGACTTAAATCCGGGTCATGGGCGGAATTAGGCAGGGATCGACAGGAGCCTTGGTCCTACCAGTTAATTTTTTAATATTAATTAATACTGAAAAAATTATACTTTTGGGAAATAAATAAAATAAGTTTTACCGAACTTTCTCAATTAAAAAGTTTATATTTCTAAAATATAAAATGATATTATGACATCTTTAATAAATTTCTGGTTCGGTTTTTGATAATGTATTTTCTCGTTCAATTTTTCGACTTGCTACTGTGATTCATCTAATTATTTGCTGGTTCACGACATTGCTGCCGTAAATGCTTCGAAGTTTGCAAAAATTTTAAAATGTGAGCCACCACGCCTTCCAGTGAGATCTAATTCAGGGCTCGTAGCTGGGAATCAATTGTTGTTGACGTTGTACTTGGGGTTAAATTTTTAGCGGTTGATGCGTGATTTGTGTTTAAGGATTAAATTGATAGAATTTTTAAATATTGAGGATTAAATTTATTAAATTATTTTGAATTAAGATCAAATTGATATATTATGTAACTTATGGAGAGTAAAACTATTATTATACCAAATCATATAATCAGGATTTAATTTCATATCACCTCGACTGATAAATATGACGCTCATTTATTATCCCGTTGATCTTTCTTGTTTTTGACTCTTGAATTTGATTTTGATACGCATCTTGAGTTTGTGGATATTTTTCTCATGATGTTTGGCTCTGATTTACGTTTATCGATGATCTTTTAGTAGTTAAATCCGTTGTTATGGTTGGTTTGCTGTAGCAGTCAGATTTGTTCGTATCTACTTATTGTTTGAGTTTTTAGATGGGGTTTTCCCTTTTTTTTTGTATGGTCCTTATATGATATTGAGTGGTTAATTTTTTTGGGTTAATGGTTATATGATAATATCTTAATTATGTGATAGTTTACGAATCTAGTTGTAAACATTCATTATAATTGAATATTTTTTTCTTTCTTAATAAAATTAGCTCCTTTTATTTTTAATTTTTAAAGAATCAATGGCTAAAATGAAATGAAAACACAGCAATAGTGACTAAAATATTAAAAGTATAAATTAAGTGATAAAAGCATAAACCTAATAATAATTAGGTAATTAAATAGATTGTTTCCCCAAACATTAATTAAAGACTTACTATAAATCATTTTTTTTATTTTGAATAGTTTGAGGATATTCAAATGTAGTATTTGTTCATAATTTTTTTAACCAGTGGCAACTTGTCCACACTGTAGGTGCAACAGCTCGAACCCAAGACTTTGAAAGAGAACAATACTTCTTTTAACCACCGATATCACTCAATGTATTCTAACATAACTAAATCTATTTGTGATTGAATCCACCAAATTTATGGATATTAATCATACAAGCATTATATTACATATACGCTAGTAGAGTAGTAGATATACAACGTAGAAAATATTGTCATTGGTAGATGAACCAACCAATTAATAAAGAAATTGGTGAACTAACAAATTAATAAAGAAATTGATGTGCAAAACTTGTGAATTTTTTTATAACTTATTTATATTTAATTTATTATTCGATTAATTTAAATTAAATATTACATAAATGTTAATAAAATCCAATTAATCTCATTCATAACGTCGGAATTCGAATTCTTAACCTTGAACTTGTGAACTTTTAAGCAAATTGAAACAATATAATATAATATTTTTTTATTTTCTAATACAATATTTACCTCAATGTGGTTTTTTGTTTAATCCTCAATGATTTTTTTAATACAACAAGCGTAAAATAACTCTTAATTCCTGAATTTGGATTTTTATGGATAAAGTATATTAGAAGTCACTTAACTATGTAAAAATGATATTTCGATCAGAGATTTTTTAAATATTATAAAATAATCATTAAACTTCTAAAATGGTTATGAAATAATTATTAAATTTATCATAATACTATAAAATAGTCCTTAAACTGAGCGAAACTCATTGTTATTTGAACGTTACAACTTACAACGGACCATTTTGTAACCATTTAAAAACCATATTGTAACAATTAAAATACCATTAATTAAAAAGATAATTTTTTATTATAATTTATCTTTTTTATTACTCTTTAAATTTAAGACATAATATTATTTAGCACAAACCAAACAATATCGGTGGTTAAGTGATTGATTGTTATCCCTTAAAGCATTAAGTTCACGTACCGCTTCTACAGGGGTATGAACATTTATCATTAAATAACAAAAAGTTTTTGAACATATATTATCTTATATTTCCTATAAATTTATATATAAAAACTAATATTATTTAAAATTGAGATAATATCTTTTATCAGTACATCATCGGTGATTTTCAAGAACAAATGGTCCCTAGTTGATGCAAGGCCATTCGTTTGTCAGATCAAATGGATAAAGTTCGCTGTCAGATATTGCTCCTTTGATCAAGGGACGAAAATGACATAAATCATGCTTCTGTGGGCCATTCACAAATTATTTTATTGTCATCTTTATTAATTATAAAATAGAATATTTATATTAATGAACCAACACTCAATTAATAAGTTTAAATAAAATACACATATAATCAAATTATAAAATGATTTTATATAAAATAAATTAGACGTACATTTACAAAATTTTGATTTAAGAGTGTGAAATTATAAAAATTTAGGAATACAAAATTAGATCGTCAATACAAAAATTTAAATTATATAATAATTTAAAGTTTTCAATAAATGTAACTACCCTCAATACTAGGACCATAAACAAGCTTGAGTATTACTGAGCTCCACTAAAAAGATCGCGAGATTAAAATTGTTAAGTTTAACTCAAATTCGAAATTTAAAATTGAAGCTTAACACGAGTTAGAAAAAACTTAAACTCGAAACATTCTCAGATTTAGCTCAATTAAAGTTGAAACTGGAGCTCGATTTAAGCTTGAACTCTAGTTTGAACATGAACTATAAGTACATGAAAGTCATATATTGTATTTTTTAAAAAATAAAATATTAATATTAATATCATCAACAATTTAATTAAAAAAAACAAAATATTAGTTTTTTGAGTTGCTGGCGAGCTTTTCAAGTCAGACATCAAGTAATTCAATTCGGTTCGCTAAGAACTCGAATCAAATCTATTTGATTCGAGTGTTAACCAAACTTCAACTGAATTAAACTCAAGTAATTCATGATCTATCTCATCTCATTTGCAATCCTACTCGATACCAATTGATATGAATTTTTGGTCATTTTTATATGAAATTTTAAATAATATAATATCATTATCTAAAAATTTTGAAAAATATATTTTTTAAGTGATGATGTTATATAATATCAGGAAAAAAATTAATGTTCAAAGATCAAGATGAGGAAGTTGTTAAGTTCTTATAATAATATAGATAAAATATCCAGGGATCAAATTAAAAAAGGCCAAGTTTAGGGGGTAAAATGCTATTTATCCATTGATAAGCAAGGGCAAACCAGTCAATTGAAAAAAAGGAAGTGACTGAGAAACTGAGCCTTTGTATCGCTGTAAATTTCACTAAAATCCAAGGGCTCGACTCAAAAATTTACTAGTCTAAAATTTTTAAGTTCGACTTGAACTCGAAATCATTATTTGAAGTTCTAAAAAATTGAAATAATTTTTTTAAACTTAACATGATTAAAGCTCAAACTTAAATTCGAACTTGAATTTTAAATACATTTATACTATATTTTTTAAATTAACACATAAATGTTAATATTATTAATAATTTATTTTTAAAAAAATAAACTCTAGTATATTATTTTTTGAGTAGCTCGTGAGCTTTTCGGGTATAGTATGAAGTAGCTCGTTTCGGTTCGTTAAGAACTTGAGTCGAGTTTGAACTCGAGTCAAAGCTATTCGAGCCGAGTATTTATTGATTTGATCTAATGTTACTCGTAATCTAACTCAACTCATTTACAACCTTAATTTACAATAATAAATGAGGGTAGGTCCAGTTTCAAAAGAAGAAAATATCATTTTTTTAAATATAAATACTAATATTTGATCAATTGAAATTTAATTAAAATTTATTTTATTTAAAAAATTAATCTTACAGTATAAGATTAAATTAACATCCTTAATCTGGATAACAAAAATATGGTGATTTATCGTGAACCAAAAAAATATTTTTAATACAATTATTGATATATTAATAAATATTAAATCAAAGTTCTTCAAATTCAAATTAAATTAATATTTTTATTAGAACTCATCAAGTGATACAATGATAAAAGAGAATATTGTTTTTCATAGAGATCTTATGATAAAAGAGAATATTATTATTTAATTAAAAAAATTATGAATATATATTATCTATATTTTAATAAAAAAGCACACTCCAATTTGAGATTTTAAAAATATTTTTTATATAACTATTAATATTTAATTTGTTAATAAAATAATTTAAATAAAATAATATTAATCATAAAATAATATTTTTAATTCAAATTTTCATTTATGATATAATTTTTTATTTTATTTAATGATTTAAATTTTGTCTCATTAAATTAATCAATAGTAAAAAAAGGAAGGCGATTATTTAGAGAATTAAAGTGTGTGTATTTATTATAGAAAAATTATGAACATGTATTATCTTGTAATTAAATTATATTATTAAATAAATAAAGTTTTTAAAGTAATATTTTAATTTATTTGTAAAAGAATAATATTTTAATTTATTGGACATGAAAATTAATTAAAATTTGGTTAAATAGCAGCGTTGAGTTACGGTTGCCATGCTTATCTCTCTCTCTAGGGCTTTCTGTGTCTCATATCGGCTCTACCTTCTTCAATTTCTCACTTTCTCGCCTTAGATTTTCTTTCCAAACAAGGACTGAGAAACGCCAAGAAAATCCCATTGTATTTCAGTCTTCGGTTCTCCCGATTGAAGAAAACATTTCTGAAGCTGGAGATCACCACTTTCTCAACGGAGTTGGATCCGTTCACTGAGACCGCGAAATCTGTTTTGGTAAGTTTGTCTTTGAAAAAGCGCCGTAGGTTTATTCAATTTTTGTGGAACTGAGAAACCTTAGTGAGAGCAGGTTATTGTCTTTGTTCTTAGGTTATTGGAAGAAGCGGTAGGTTATTTTAGGGTTTGGTAATTCGGAGAAAAAGGAGAAAACGGTGGCGTTTTGTTGGGGTGGTGCTGCCTCATGCGATTTGATGCCGCCTGAACCGTTGCCTTGGGATCGGAAGGATTTTTACAAGGAGAGGACGCAGTCGCTGCCACAGCAGCCACTGACGGCTCGATGGAGAGACTCTTCGATGTTGCCTTATCAGCATGGATCTTTTAGAGAATTTACTCGTTGGGGATCCGCTGACTTCCGTCCTCCTCCTGGTAAATTCCTTCTATACTTTTTTATGCCATGTCTTTCACCCTAAGTTTCTTATTTAAAATGTATTCCTCATTATTTGATGGCAGGTATTTTACCAGCATGAATTTTTGCGGGATGGTTTATCATTTATTTATTTTGGTGTTAGGAATTAAGGACTGGTCAGATCCGTGGGTTTTAAGGTTTTGGTTTAGTTTCTTTTGGGTGTATTTGATTTGAGATTGTATATACAGTCATTCTAATTAATGGAGATTTTTCTTTATTCCCAGTTAGTTTTTCTTTTCTCGTTTTCCTTTATTTAAGAAATCAACGTTCTTGATTTTTTGGTTAGTGTTTTCCTTTCATCAGGGGTAGGAATTTTGTTTTCCGTTTCTGGTTTATAGAAGAACTTATACTTTGATTTTGATAAATTGGATTTTTTATTTTTATTTATATTATTCTAAATCGTTTATTTGGGTTTTATGGGTACTATTTCTTTGGAGATAGAAAATATTGATTTTTCTTTCTCTTGGATTCCATTGATCTATTAAATGGAGAATTTTATTTTTCTTCTATTTTTTCTCTTGTGGGTGTAAAATTTAAGATTTATTGAATATCCCCTTTCTGCCCCTGATTTGAAAGATACATATGTACATTACATGTGTTAATATTTGTTACCTTTTCTGTGTCTCTTTAAATTTTATGAAGGTCATGGTAGGCAGGGCAGTTGGCACCAGCTTGAGGAAAATGCTGGTCATGGATATGTTCCATCGCGATCATGTACCAAGATCTTGGTTGATGAGAATTTCCGTCAGTCAGATTCTCATGTAGATGGGAAATATGGTCGAAACAGTAGGGAAAACAACAGAGGTTTTTATAGCCAGAGAGATTGGAGAGGTCATTCTTGGGAAAGCTGCAATGGGTCCCCAAGCACTCCTGGGAGGCCTCATCACGTCAATAATGAGCTGAGGTCCATGGATGATATGTCATCCTATTCTCATATTCATTCTGACTTTGTGAAAACATGGGATCAACTTCAAAAAAGCCAGCATGATAATAAGACAAGTGCTGTAAATGGGGTAGGCACAGGACAAAAATGTCAGAAAGAGAATTCAGTAGGCTCAATTGATTGGAAGCCTCTGAGGTGGAGTCGCTCTGGAAGCTTGTCTTCACGGGGTTCAGGCTTCAGCCATTCAAGTAGCTCAAAGAGCTTAGGAGGTGTAGAATCTGGTGAAGGGAAACTTGACTTGCAACAGAAAAATTTGACTCCCGTCCAGTCTCCTTCTGGGGATGCAGCAGCCTGTGTCACATCTGCCGCACCTTCTGATGAGACAATGTCAAGAAAGAAGCCACGCCTTGCATGGGGTGAGGGTCTGGCTAAGTATGAGAAAAAGAAAGTTGAAGGCCCTGATACAAGAACAGAGAGAGGTGGGGCTATGATTTCCGTCTGTAATACAGAGTCGAACAATTCTCTGAGTTCTAACTTGGCAGAGAAGAGCCCTAGAGTCCTTGGATTTTCTGACTGTGCTTCTCCTGCAACTCCTTCATCTGTTGCTTGCAGTTCCTCACCTGGTAAAATACTAATTTTTCTTAAATATTTATTCAGTTTTAAGCAGATTACCTAAAACAAATGTGCTTTTTATGATTATTTTCTCTATATAACAGCAATAATTTGACTGTCTTGTTCGATTATATAGCAGCAATAACTCAGCATGACTGTTTGTTTGATAATATGTTTCTGATTCGTCACTTCTACGGCACCCTGACCATTTTAACAACTTCATTTTAACAACTTGAATATTATAGGGTTGGATGGTGTTCCAAGCATTCACAAGTGTTTTAGCAGGCCCGCATGCCAATTAAATTATGCTTAGAACACTGGTATAGTCATTATACGTTGTACATACACCTTTTGAAGGCCATGACAAAGTTCAACAGTTATGCTATTCTTTTCATTGGCATGACAATTTGCTGGTTTCCCATGCTTTAGTAACCACTATTTTAGTACTTATGCATTCTTGACTCTCCATTTCTGACTTCCCTGTTCCCCCAGAGCAAACTCTATATGTGTACTCTATGATTTTTTGAGGTGATAGCAATTTTCCTTTTATGAGTTCCTAGGCTTCAGTTATCGATGCATGTAGCCTATCTATAACAAATTATAGGGCCTTGTTACTAAGATGAAAAAGTCAGATATCTGGCTAGATTGGTTGCTCCCAGCTGAGAATTTGACCCATGTTGTAACCATGTGTTATAAGAAACATTTGTTTTCTGTGCGTTCATTGCTTTATGACTAACTTTTCCTGTAGTTGCTTACTTATTTAAGTTTCACATTCTTAAATGGTGTTATCCCTCTTATTAAGAATCAGTTGGGCTTTTAAGAATGTGAAACTTAAAGCCTCTGTTCTATATATTGGTTGTTTAACTTGGTATTAAAGCCTTGCTTTTTGTTTTCTCTATATGTGGTTGATAACTCCGACCCTAGTGAGGTTCACATGGAGGCCTTTGTGGAGCTACATCTGGGGGTGCTAAGTGGTTTTTATCTCACATTTATTCAGAATTGGGTTTCTTGTTGTCTAATATTTAACTTGGGTCCTTCAACCCATTAACAGTTGGTTCTATATTGGATGTTTGCACTTATAGTTTCCAATCCATGTCCGAATTAGTTTTTTTTTAATTAATAGGAGAATGTCAAATTATTACCCTTTCCCTGTATTGATCGTGATGAGAATGCTTCTCATTTATTCCCACAATGGTTCCAATTTTTGCAGGTGTCGAAGAAAAATCATTTGGCAAAGCTGCAAATATTGATAATGATATTAGTAATTTATGTGGTTCTCCAAGTATTCGTTCTCAAAATCATCTAGAAGAACCATCTTTTAATTTAGATAAATTGGATATCAATTCAATTAATAATATGGGCTCTTCACTTATTAATTTGCTTCAGCCTGATGATCCTTGTACTTTAGATTATAGTTTTGTTCGGTCTACTGCAATAAATAAGTTGCTACTGTTGAAAGGTGATGTGTTGAAGGCTTTGGAAATGACTGAATCTGAAATTGATTCACTTGAAAATGAATTCAAGTCGTTGAAAGATGACACTAGAAATGGATGTCCTTTTCCAGCAACATCTAGTTCTCTTCCTATTGAGCAACTTGGGAAAGCTTGTGGTGAACAAGAGACCGCATCCAGTATGATCCCTCGACCTGCCCCTTTGAAGATTGATACTTGTGCTGATGTTGCTGTGGAGAACCTGCCCCTTTGTAATGGTGTCCTGGAAGAAGTTAACGATGTTAAAGACAGGGATATTGATAGTCCTGGAACAGCAACATCTAAATTTGTGGAACCATCGTCTTTGGAGAAAGCAGTTTCTCCGTCTGATATTGTGAAGCTCCACGAATGCTCTTTTGATTTGGGTTCTGTTCAAACAATTGATAATGAAGGCAGTGTGCTTAAAAAGATTGATAATGATGCACCTGTTTCAGAATCTTCAAGCTCTGATGCTGGTGGAGAGAATGTTATGTACGAAATAATATTGGCTGCTAATAAGGAATTGGCTAATGTAGCTTCTGAAGTATTTAATAAACTACTGCCAAAAGAGCTCAATGGTGTTTCAGTTTCTGAAATTGCTAATGTAGCACGCATGCAGTCTGATACCATAATCAGGGAAAAAATTGCAATGAGGAAGCAGTACTTAACATTTAAGGAGAGAGTTTTGACACTTAAATTTAAAGCATTTCAGAAGGCATGGAAGGAAGATATGCGATTGCTTTCGATGAGAAAATGTCGTGCAAAGTCTCAGAAGTATGAACTAAGTTTACGTTCAGCGCATGGCGGCTACCAAAAGCATCGATCTTCTATTCGTTTCCGAGTCACTTCTCCTGGTAATTGTTTGAACGCTCTGTTTAGAATGGTTTTTATTTGATGCCAGTTTGTTGTGATTTTGCATGTGATTTGAGTGGCATAATTTCAGACCACTAAACACTTCATTCTGTTTCCTCTTCTCTTCTCTTTTATCTCTTTCCAATTACCTCTTATCTGTAATCATTTCTGTCCTTGAATGCATGTAAGGTAAAGTCTTGAGGATTATTTATCGTAAGATTAAACTGTGATACCCCTTCTTTTTCAATTTTTATTGGAAATGGACTTACTATAGAAGTGTTGCTGAAAATCAGTTTTGAATTAAAGGGAAATATTGAATGGAAAAAGGGACAATAAGCTAGGTTTCTTTTGTTACTGGAGACTAGGTTCAGATCTATCATCCCAAGAAAATAGATGTTGAAATTTATGAACAACTGTACATGGTGGAAGATGCATTATTTGACGTGTTACTGAGTTCTAGTTATCTCTTTGTTACAAATTGCTTTTATATGCATTTTCCTAACTGGCCAATCATTAATGGTGTTAGAGATTTTGGGTTTTTAGTGGAGATTTAGTAGTAACTTGAGTAAATAGAAGGTAACCATACTTTGGCCTTTGTCGGGTGAAATTCATTCCACTTATTATGAATACTTGGAATTTGTTATTTTGGTGTTACCACGTCCCCCCTCCATTGTTGATATTTGGTAAATTGTAGGAATTGTATCTTCCTCAATTCCTTATGTATTGTATGCACTGTGAGCACGGGTTGCTTGCCTTCAATGTGATCATCATATTTGATTTGGTTGAATTTTAATACCTCTGCAAATGATTGATTGTCAAATTCATATCTATTATGTATATTCTAATATCTTTTAAAGAAGAATGGTCTTCAAGATCTATCATATTGTTTGAAATTGGATGTTTTAATCATAGCTAGGATTTGCTTGATTGCTTCAGTTTTCCTATATTGTCTTTTGTTTCTGCTTTCTGAAAATTGTTTCTTAAAGCTGAAGTTATCGGTGACGATGTGTATAATTAATATTTGTGTTTGTTTTTGTAGCTGGAAATCTGGTCTCAGAACCTAGTGCAGAGATGATCAATTTTGCTAGCAAACTACTTCTAGATTCCCATGACTGGATTCACAGGAATGCTTTGAAAATGCCAGCATTAATTTTGGATGATAAAGAGAAGAAGGTTTCGAGGTTTATCTCTAGTAATGGATTGGTTGAAGACCCATTAACTATTGAGAAAGAAAGAGCTTTGATCAATCCTTGGACATCAGAGGAGAAGGAAATTTTTATAGATAAATTGGCTTCCTTTGGGAAGGACTTCAGGAAAATTGCATCCTTTCTTGATCACAAGACTACTGCACACTGTGTTGAGTTCTATTACAAGAATCACAAGTCTGAATGTTTTGAGAAAACAAAGAACAAGAATGATCCCAGTAAGCAGGGGAAGTCTGCTGTGGATACTTACTTGTTGACATCGGGGAAAAAACGGAGCCGTGAAAATGCAGCATCCCATGATGTTCTCGGTGCAGCTTCAGTTATAGCAGCTCATGCCAAAAGTAGCATTCAAAACCGGCATAAATCTTCTGGCAGGATCTTTTTAGGAGGGAGGCTTGTTTCAAAAACATCTCGAGTTGATGATAGCAGTGCTATAAGGTCTTCTAATTTTGAAATTGTTGGAAGTGATCAAGATACCGTTGCTGCTGATGTTTTAGCTGGTATATGCGGTTCTTTCTCTTCAGAGGCAATGAGTTCCTGTATCACTAGTGCTGGCCCTGGAGAGAGTTACCATCATGACTGGAAGTGCCACAAAGTTGATTTCGTGGTGAAAAGGCCGTCAGCATCTGATGTCTTGCAGAATGTTGATGAGGATACTTGTTCAGATGAGAGTTGTGGGGAAATGGTTTCTGCTCATTGGACCGATGAGGAAAAATCCATCTTTATACAGGCTGTCTCATCTTATGGTAAGGATTTTGAAATGATTTCACGGTATGTTGGTACAAGAACCAGGGATCAGTGCAAGGTTTTCTTTAGCAAGGCTCGTAAATGCCTTGGACTTGATTTGATACAGTCAACAACAAGAAACATGGGTACTCCCATGAGTGATGATGCCAATGGTGGTGGGACTGATACGGAAGATGCTTGTGTACAAGAGAGCTTGGTTATTTGTGGTGATAAGTTGGGATCTAATGTGGAAGACAACTTACCTCCCACTATTTTGAGCATGAATGAGGATGAATCGGATCCTACCAGGGAAGTGAGTTTGCAAACTGATCTGATCATGTCAGAGGGGAATGATGGGAGACTAGTAGATCACCAAAACTCTGAGGCGGCGGAAGCTATTTTTTCTGATGTAGACCCAGCTGGGCCAATTTCTGAAGGTGGTGCTGATGATATGGATGTTGAGAGCAAACAGGCTGAATCACTACAGGTTCAGATAAGTGTTGCTTTGGCCAATTTAAGTGCTCTAAGAAAGCACAGTGAACGGGGTGTTTCTCTTGCTGTATCCGCATCTCATGGTGGGTCAGTTGATCCGTGTCTTTCTAGTTTAGATGCATCGGTTGAGCCCAAATCTGATGCTGCCTGGTCTACTGAGGGGTTTGGAAATAATTTGGAGGCACAGAAAACATTGTTGTACAAAAATGGTATGGGTGAATGTGATGCAAATTGCAGTGCGGAGACTGGCAGTCAAGTTACATGTAGGCCTGATTCAAATAGAACTGGTTATGAGTCCATTGATAAAAATTTTGACGCTAAAGGTCTGCATCAAGCCCCTCTTGACTTGGATTTCGCCGGAAAGCCTTCAATCTTATTATTCCCTGATGAAAGCTCTTTTGCTAAAGTTTCTGCATTACATGATTCTGGTACCTCTCAATGTGAGAACATATGCAACCAAGATAAGTTGTCATCAACACTTGCTTATCCGGAGACCGAAGACAAACAGGCTCACAAAGCTGTTAGCGGACATGTGTCTGATCAATTTTATGGAAAGCCCTTGGTGGATCTTTCTGAACTGCAAATCTCAACTTTAAAAGAAATAAATGGTGATGTAGGGCGTAGTCAGTTGCCTGAAGTTAAAAGGCTTTCACCATCAGAAAGGGGTGTTACTGGTTCATTTTTGGCTCATGATTATCTTCATAAGTGCAATGGTCAAAAAGCAGCAGCTGAGCTTCCACGACTGGTACAAAAATTAGAGCAAGCAAACAGTCGGCAGAAATCCCACTTTCGTAGTCTGTCAGATACAGAAAAACCTTGCAGGAATGGAAATGTCAAGTTGTTCGGTCAGATACTCAATTCCAGTTCCCAAGACGATGAAAAGGTGGCCCATTTCTCAAGACAAAGTGCGAAGTGTTCAGATTTGAACTTGACGGGTCGTAAAAATGCTGATGGAAATAGATCTTTCTCAAAGTTCGACCCAAACATTATTTTTGCACCTGAAAATATTCCCAAGAGAAGTTTTGGTTTCTGGGATGGCAACAGGATACAAACTGGGTTGTCATCTTTGCCAGATTCTGCTATTTTAGTGGCAAAGTATCCTGCTGCATTTGTTAATTATCCTTCTTCATCCTCGTCTCAAATGGAGCAGCAGGCATCACAGACTGTTGTTCGGAATACTGACGGAAATTTGAACGGTGTTTCAGTCTTTACCCCAAGGGAAATAAACAGCAACAGCACTGTAATGGATTATCAAGCGTACAGGGGCCATGATTGTACCAAGGTAGAACCATTTACCACAGATGGAAAGCAGCAACAAGGAATGTTCTCCGAGATGCAAAGACGAAATGGCTTGGAAGCAATCTCAAATTTACAGCAGCAGGGAAGGGGAATGGTTGGAATGAATGTAGTGGGCAGTGGAGTTGTTGTAGGGGGCTCGTGCTCAAATCTTTCCGATCCCGTAGCGGTTCTTAGGATGCAGTTTGCGAAAACGGAAGCATATGGTGGGCAGAGTGGGAGTAGAATGAGGGAAGAGGAGTCGTGGAGAGGTAAGGGGGACATGGACATACGCAGGTAGTAGAAACCAAATTCCTCGCTTGCAAATAACTCTTTGCTGAACACTGTATAATAGGTTTTTTTGTATTTGTTTCTAATGGATGTCATGATGATAAGGGCAAGCAGTCCAGAAAGTCTTTTTTTTTTTGAGTTAGAAAGAAACATTTTAGGTGGCCTTTGTAATAGTTGCAGCAGCTGTCTTTGTATTTGTATTTGATGGAAAAATACACAAATAATCTGTCAAAAGTTTAGGGGGGCAATCCTGCTATTTGTCGTTTCTTGTAGACGAGATACTTTGTTCGCAAGTTATTCAACTTCAGCCTCAGAGATTTAGAATTCAGTTTAGATATATGTTGTGAAGAAATTATCAACAAGTTGATCCTGACAGCACAAATTAAAGAGAGTAATATGTTTTATCACTTAAACAATACTCTTCCATCTTATGACTTCAGAATGGAACTGTAATCCTTAAGTTGCAGTTATTTGAATGAATAGATAGTTGGACGAATTATTTATGAATCATCTACCTCCGTTATTGAGTATGAATAAAATTTGTGTTTATTTTTTTTATATAAGAATTTGTGTTTATTAATAATTGAAAGAACTTGAATAAAGGTGTATTAGATTTGTTGACTTGTTTTATTTATCAATTTTTTTCTTTTATATTTTTATATTTTAAATATTAGTGAAGATAATGATTAAATTAAATCTAATGTGACCTTTGGAGTTTAAATTGTGAAACTTTAAGGAACTTAAGGACTTGTGCATTATTCCACTATTTTCTTTGGTTTGCAAATAAAAAAGTGTTGACACCAAATGAACATAAATATAAATACCTTCAAAAATAAATAATCAGACACTTTATGTGTTCCAGTTAAGATTTGTTACTCCCACCAAATAAAATAAAACATAAGTTCATAGCCAAAATGCATAAAATATCATATATGCGGATTCATATCCATATATGCGTGAAATAGGATACTTGGAAAACTAGTCGGAGAACGATAACTTTTTTTTTAAGAACAGATGTCAATTTAAACCAAAATAATAATAAAAAAAAACATGCATTCATATTTGGTTAAATAATAATATGTTATGGAATCAAGGCTGTTGTCTCCGGGGAAGCTTCACTTCCTCTCTGCTTGAAGGGATCGGCACAATGATTTTGCTCGTCTTCTCCAATTGTTTCTTCAATAGCTCGCGCTGCTCGAGCAAAGATGAATAATGATTAGTGGCAGGTAAACTCTTGTTGAAACAGATCATGATTCCTAAAATAATGAAAGCTTAAAACTGGCATGTACCTACTCCACAAGTTCTATGAGAGTAACATCTGATTTGTCACATTTGCTCTTCAAGAATACATTTTCCTTCTTCAGTTCCTTGATTGATTTTCCCATCTAATTTGTATACAAAAGGAAAAAAGTGTTGGTCACTTGCACATAAATCATAACACAACATGGGGACTTGGATTCGGGTACGAATGTCTAACATGATTATGTATCAGACATTGATATATTCGTCCCCCCCCCCGAGATTTCCGCGTATATCAAGAGCCAGTAGAGCATCATATCCCGGTCCCCGTATCTATTTCTGGACAACATGGGTGCTTCAAGAAATACGAAGAGTCAGACCAACATAGCATGGGTCAAGCTACTCAAGCCATGCGAAAAACTGAGAAAACTTGTGCAAATGTTCTCTTATAGGTAAAAGGCAAATAATGTACCTTTTCAATCTCTTCCTTAAATGTTTCAAATACCTCGTTGCTCTTTAACAAGGCATCCTGCAAAATTAAGTAGAGTTTCAAACATAATGAAGATGAGATAGGTTCAAATACCAACGGTGCAACAAAAGGGCATGAAGACACTAAACAGATTTCAGTATTGCTGCATCTCGGCATTCAATATGCAGAGGATGTCAGACCGGTGAAGTGCATACAATGGGTGACTTCTTAGTTGCCTACAGAGGTATTGAAAAAGCATTCCACCATTATTCCTACAACAAAAAGCACAACTTTTTAAAGCTTTTTCATGTATTTGGAGGATCTTTGAAGGTCCGTATCCCCATATCTACATCCAGATATGCATCGGAAACAGGTATTGGACATGGATACTTCATGAAAAATAAAGAGCTGGAACAACACAGCTTCAAGTAAACTATCACTAGTTTCCAGTTAACAAAATCACTTGGATTGTAGTTTCCTACTAAATCATGATATTGTGCATGTGACAACAAACCTTCCAATTAGACCTCTTCACTGAAATCCGGTGTCAGGCTGTCAGCCATCCAAGACAAATGATATAAGCACTCAATACCTAATATCTGTATACATCAGCTTAAAGAGACAAAAAAAAAAAAAAAAAAAAGAAAACAAACTGCCGCTAAAAGCGAAATGATAAATGACATGGAAAGAATCTGACCTGAAACTGTTGGAATTTTTCTCCATCGGCAGTCAACTGCATGCGTAAGTTCTTTTCGGTTGCCAATAATTGTGACACTTGCTCTGCATATACTTTCATCTGCACTTGTTCTTGGACCAATTTCTCTTCATGCTGCTTAATTTTTAGATCAGCAAGCTCTAGTTCTAGAGTTTTCTTCTTTAGCTGTGTTGAATGTCCAAAACATAAGGCTTAGCTCACAGTTCTAGACAACACAATTTGATTGTATTTTGGGATAGAAAACCTTCGTTATAATAGTAAATCTAACCCGTACCTTTTGTTCAAAATGTTGTTCAGAGAGAGCATATTGGTCAGCAAACTGCTTCAACTTCTCTCTTAACCTATACTTGAAGAATTCTAAAGTTCAATGAGTAATAACAAACTGGAAGTAAAACAATCCATCAAATCAAAATAAATGATATGAATGCAATGATGCTTTCCCAGATAGCAGGAATTCTTTAGAAATTTACTTGGAAAAGCCAATATATTTGAAAACCCCTAAAGTAGGAAGATCAGATGTCGGAATTAAATGATCATTTGAAAGAAAGAAAGGAAAAAAAAAACAGAAGAACCAGAATACAGAACATATGTAATTTGGTGATTCAGATAACTTTCAGAGTATAGATGTTACCAATCTTGAAGAACAATATTTGTTATAATTAGACATGCAATTCCTGTTTCTTACATCTCATTCTCCTTCAGCTGAGATAGACACTCATTCTTCTGCTCTTCCATCTTATTGGTCACATCCTATATGAAGGGGGGAAAAGAAAATTAAGAAACTACTAGTAAAAGATGTTTAGGGTTAATCTCTTTTAGTACCCGACACTTACACTCGAGTCCTATTAACATAGAATCATCCAACATGAGATGCAGTTTTCAACTCTTGATTCAACTATTAGACTTGCAGTATTATCTTGATAAATTACGACACAGTTCCCTAGCCTTTACCATTTATCTTGCTTTTAACATATCTTTGTTCACCTAAGCTACATATATGCCATGCAAACCCTTTTCATGGTATCAATCACGTTTAGCAGTTAAGACAATTATCTTAGGAAGTAATATAGCGACAGAGAGATGGACCAGTCATCATGTAGGTCAGCCTATCCACCAAGATCGCTATCAAAATCAAAATGGGGGCATTGAACCTTGATCGCATTATGGAACCTCGCTGCTAAATCTAATCTTATATCTTGCCCTTCTGTTGAAACCCGTTTGCATTCATCCTGTGAAATCATGAACAAGCCATCAGCAGCTTCATAAAAGAAAGACAAATAGCTCAAAAAGGAGTATATATTTGTCACGGAAATTGAAGATTTTTACCAGACAGTGAAAAAAAAGCACCGTCAATGATCTCAAATATATCAAAATTAATGATAAAACTAAAGGAGTGTTGCTTTCCTCAATAATTAAGGTTGTTCTGCAGAATTACCATCACTTGATTGGATGTATGTCAAACGCTTACAGAAGAAACCAGAGGTTCAAAAAATGTTTGTAAGTGCAACTTTATAGAGGAAGTGCAGTTGAGATCAGAACTATTACTCATATCATTTTATGGTTGGTTTGTAACATAATTTTAAGGGTCAACATACTCAATGCAAAGTGTATCATGAACAAATACTCAGTGGAATGCAATAAATAAAAAAGTTACAAAGCATCCAAAGAGAACATACCATTAACATTTTGTTTTGCTGTTGTAACTCCCTACAAAGTGATTCAAGTTTATCTTGTACGGCAATAGCTACACGAGAAGGCAAAGAAACCAAAATCAGTTCCGTGATGTTAAAGATATAGAGAAAGATTATACTATTGACCGATGTGTCATACACGCGTGCCTCTTATATGTTCATATCATACAAAACCTAACATTCGGCTATAGATTCTAAATTTAGCTGGTCAAAGTTTCCTAGGAAATGGACTATCTGGGTGCAGTGAGGTCAAAAGACTTTCTACTCATTTAACAAAAGAAGAAAGAAAACATGACATTAAACTGCATTCATAAAGGAATAGCTCTTTCCAAGAAACAACATTTAAGTTAAAATTTATTTGGATATCATTAAGGTAAAAGTGTGCACTAGGCATGATTGTTGTAGTCTTTTGGAAGAGATGGTAGCAATAGTTATCATACTTGAACACTCAAATTTAATTAATTAATTTATTTTTAAATTTGCAAACTGAGCAGGCAGAAATTGTATACACCCTGTGTATATAGCATATGGCAGAAATAAAAACCAGTTTTCAAACTTAATGGACAAGTATCATTGTTGGCAACAAAAGGTACATTCACAGCAAAACAATTCGTACTATCATGAAGGATCCATAAAATTCAGTCTTAGGTAAACTAGACCTACATATTCATCATATCATGTGATACAGCGAATAGTGACCCCCATGTTTCATAAATGTTATTTCAACATACCTGCATCTCTTTCTGCTAAAACTTGTTGATATTTTTTTTGATAAGAATTGAAGATCTCATTAAAAACCTCATTCTTAATTAATGGAGCTTGAAGAAAGCTCTTTAATCATTGGAAGGAAGAAAAGAACGCCTTAAAATTTCATTCAACAACTTCAGTACATAAGATACATCCAGAACAACACCCCTATGTAAAACATACAACCATACAACGCCCTAAAACAACCAAAAACAGCAACACTAACTTAGCCTAAACCTAGAAAGCTAGGCCCCCCGCAACTGAAGGCGCGTCCTGATTACCAAACTAGCGAAAAAATTACAAAAGAAGAGCCTATACAACCCGAAGTAAACACAGAAAACAGTACATCAAAAAAACCTTCAACACTCAACCAATCCCCTGCTTTGCTAGCCTGTTAGCCTCCAAGTT